TTAGTTAACAAATAAAAACAAAACACTGCCTACTTAAAATTTCAAAATCAGCTCCAACACAAATAAAAACTCTCTCATCTTCTTCAATCTGAAAATCTCAAAAATATCGATAGTCGAAGAAAAAAATTGTTTTATGTCAATTACTTCGAATTGGTAAGTATATTTATGCATGTTTAATATCGTTTTCTTTAAATGTGTATACGTTTTTAATCAATAAATTAAGATTCGACATAAATTACATGCAGAAATTTTTTTTAGCAGATGTATACTTTTTGTAAGCACGAGAGGGAAAAAATCATCTAACAACTTTCAGATGTTACCGCCTTAACAGCTTGCTTTTACGAAAAAATAGTCCGTTAACGTGGCGATCGAAAGTTGACAGCTGGCAGTTCCTGGCTGGGATGCTACTCCTCGGCTAACAGCCAGTTGTAACATCCGACTGTTAACAGCCGGATGTCCGGCTGTTATTTATATTTTTTTGTTTTTAACAAGTTTCTGTTGCCACTATGAGTCGAATTTTGAATGAATGTTTACAAATTTGTGTTTTGTCATGCAGATATGAAGATTATACTCTCGATTTGTTATTTTGATGATTTTGAATTGAATGAAAATAATCGATGGGCATGAAAATGGATGAATGACATACAAGGTGGTATGTCGACACATTTATCGGAGAGTACATCGTACGAGGAACTGTACCATGATATACAGAACAAGCTGAACGTCGATTCATCTTGATACGATATGGTACAGAGATTTTAATTCAAAGAGCATTTGCCATTTTCTATTTTCCTCAGCCACGTCGGGTGTACGCTCGTCCTCCACCCCGAGGACCGCCGTCACAATTTGGCTCTCAACCTCCACCACCATTCGAGTCACCCTCTCGGTCCTCTCCTCCGACCCAGGAACCTTGACCCCCTCGTGGCTCCCCAATTCTTCTACTACCTCCATCGGGGCCATTGTCTCTGTCGTGTCATCCCCAGCCACCGCCTTCCCCCTATCCTCGACGGAAACCCACTCCCACTCTACAGATAACAAAAATGATTCCAAATAAGCATCATCCTCCTAGAACTGTCTGTGACCCCTCTCCCCATCACCATCTCTATCACCCTCTCCTTCAGCCCAACTATCACCCCGTCCCCTGCCCGCTATAACGCCTCGGAGGGTTGCGACCTCATTCTGAAGGTCTAGCAAGTGACAACATAGAACTTCAACATAATTGGATAAATCGTTGAACCTTCCTATAAACTCTCGTAGCATCTCGCCCATTTGCTCTGTCGGCGGTCATACTGATCGTCGACCCTTCCTATCAAATCTTGTTGCAGTCTCCCCACCTCTCTCGCTATGAATACAGTCATACGGTCATACAGATAAGTGGAATACTGCCTCTGACTGTGATATGATGAAACACGAGGTAGGTGGGTGGACGGGGGAGAAGAAGACCTGATCGACAACGGCGATGCCCTCGGCAGAGATAGAGACTTGATCGGCGGTGGTGATGTCATCGGCGGCTGTGATGCCCTCAACCGAGGTGATCGTCGATCAACTGGACCGCCCTCCTACACGAATGGGAACATTAAAAATTATTTTTTTAATGAAAATCGGCTTAAGCATACAAAATAGTAATCAATAAAGTATATTCAATTCACATACCTCATCTCGGCACATGATGGAATCGGACACCTGATCATTGTGCGGATCGAGTAATTTACACACATAACTGCGGGCCTCCTCCTCTCTCATCGGCATCAACTCAGTGATGACTTCAAGCTCGCATATCCACATTTCGACTAGTTAAAGATCATGTGATAAGATTTTGAATCTATGCACAACATAAATCGCAAATGTGTTAACTCACTTGAGAGTCGTCGATGAGAGCTGATAACTGCTTGCTAGTTGGATTTTCCTCTGGTCGGGATGCTTGCCAATGAGGCATCCGATGGCAGCGTGTCTCCCATTGCCTAGTAAATCGGGCACCTGGAGGGGGACAGTCTCATACTCTTAGATCTGCAATAGATACAATTATTATATTCATATTTATTATAAACAATATTTTAACGTTAATTATGTTAAAAATTTACTTGCACTGCTGAGGCAATCGTATTTACACATGGTCCCCTTCGGCCTCGAGTGTGATTTGGTGAAAAAGTACACCATGTCCAAAATATATCCGGCCCCACAGATATGTTTTGAGGACATCAAGATCGTCGATGATCTCTAGATGGAAGAGGTCGATCGCAATCTTCTTGTGGTGACATCTCAACATATCTCAACATGCTCTCAAGGATGTAAACTAGACTGAGCTTCAGTTTGTCTAACATATGGTCACACCCCCTGATCGCGTCCATCACCTGTGGGAGAATCACTGTCCCATGTCCCTAGAAGTTGCTTTGTAAAGCCCGCTACCTCTCTAAGTACCATAACGAGCTGTATCATGGCCCGTAATCTCTAGTCCAGTGATCAGGGCAAACTTGAACATAGAGAAACTGACGACTTTGCTCCTGTGGTCAAAGTGGAGGGCATCTCCGTTGACTGGACTCAACAACCGACATAGTAGGGTATCGATGATCTGCCCCGAGAATCGCACGACTCTCAACTCATATAATGCCCAAAGAAAAGACCTGCGTAGCATATCTGCATGCAGCTCATCCAGCAACTCCAACACGGTGGTGTAACTATCAAGGCTACCATTCCAGATAGCCTTACCCAACATCTGTCTCAAAGTGGAGTTCAAGTGATACTCCATGCTGCAAAAATTTAAATATTAGCACATCGAACATAAGATAACAGAATACGACATAATCTCAAAAAATTAAGTGAACCGAATTGTAACAACTGCACGGAAGAAAAAAATTTAAATTAAAAAATAAACAAAAAGAATTTACTGATTTCGTTAAAAAGAATATTTCATTTTTGTAATTATAAATTTAATTTTTTTCAATTAATTATTATTTAATTACATTTGAAAAGATTAAAGATTAATCTACAAAGAATATTTAATTGAAGTATTGTAAATTAATTAAAATATTAAAAGGAAAAAAAAAGAATTTGCTAATTTGTTAAAAAATAATATTTCATTTCGGTAATTATCAATTTAAAATTATTTATTTAATTATATATATAAAAATTAAAACAAACGTAAAATATTAAAGTTAAGTAAACAATTTAATTATTATTTAATTACATTTGAAAAAATTAAGATTAATTTATAAAGAATATTTATTTGAAGAATTTTAAATTAATTAAAATATTAAAAGAAAAAAATAAGAATGTACTAATTTGTTAAAAAATAATATTTCATTTCGGTAATTATCAATTTATAATTATTTATTTAATTTTAGTTATAAAATTAAAACAAACTGAAAATATTAAAATTAAGTAAACAATTTAATTATCGTTTAATTACATTTGAAAAAAATTAAAGATTAATTTACAAAGAATATTTAATTGAAATTTTTTAAATTAATTAAAATTTTAAAAGAAAAAAAAATAAGAATTTGCTAATTTGGTAAAAAATAATATTTCATTTCAATAATTATCAATTTAAAAAAAAAAAAGAATACAAGTATTATTTGATTAAATAAATAATTATAAAAATAAAAAATGAAGTAAGTTATTTTTAGAAATTAAATACATTATAAAAATATTTTTTAATATTCGAAATATTAAATTATTAAAAAAATAAAACAAAAGTGTCTGGGCTGGCTGTTAAAGCGTAATAGCCGGCCCAATAACAGTAGGCCCAAAATCGACGGTCAAGCTAATTTACTTATATGAAAAACACAATTTTAATCACAAAAACTAACATTTTCTTACATCGGTGACGAAATCCTCTTTGTGGTTGTCGGCACCGATGACTTTACGAACGATCTCGTCGGTTTTAGTGTCGATTTTGGTGGTCGATTTTTCTTCTTTTGGCTGTGAGAGTGTGAGAGTGTCGGTTTTGGGGGTATTTTTGCCTTTTTGTCGGTATAAATCATGTTTTGGCTTTTTCCGTTTTTTTTATACTATTTAACTGTCAAAGGCCAAAGTGGAAATATAATCTTGTCAACAATCCATTTTCCACTATTTCCTCCATTTGAAGTGTCTTAATTTAAACATAAATAGGTGTTAAGCATCAATTGGACTACATAATATTACTCGAATATAAATATATAAATTTCGCTATTTTTTCAACTGGCTATACCTATCGTGTACAATTGGAAAAGTCGAGAAGTGGTTTGCAGAGAAATCTAGTTATAGCTTATAAACCGTTCTTAAAAAAATGAGAATACACCCTGGTTAACCGAGTGGTTCAATGGAAATTGAATGTATTTACACCGTCAACTCATCAATTTTCCCTAATCCCGGTTGTCTTTCTCTTTAAGAAAAGATTTATTATCTTTTTCTTTTTCTTTTTTTTTTTTGAGAAGAAAGATCATATATTCAGGCAAGCAAATGACGGATACAGAGAGGGGGTTCTCCCAACACCATTCTCTTCTCTTTAATAAAATATTTATTATCTTTTTCTTTTTCTTTTTTTTTTTTGAGAAGAAAGATCATATATTCAGGCTAGCAAATGACGGATACAGAGAGGGGGTGCTCCCAACACCATTCTCTTCTCAGAGAGTTTTAGTGCTTCCTTTGCTAAGGTATGAGCAACAAAATTAATCGATCTGGGAACGTCAACAACAGACCAAGACTGAAAAGAGCTAAGCATGTTCCTAGTGTCCTCAATCAGAAGCCTTGGGTAATTCCATAAGTCAGTGTCACCTTGAATCCCCATCACCACATTAAGTGCGTCGCCTTCCAGAATGATAGACCGCAACTCCAATTTAATGCAAAGCATCACAGCAACCAAAGCTGCAAGAGATTCAGCCAAGAAAGCATCAGGGAGAAGGGACCTGGGGTGAAGCAACGCAGCAATGAATTGACCTGTCCAGTCTCTCACAACCACCCCGACTCCAATACGACATTTAGGCACATCAACTGCAGCATCCCAGTTAATTTTATATAGATTAGGAGGGGGTGCTGACCAAACTTGAGGAGGGAGGGATCCAACGGGGCAACTGCCAATCGACTGGGAATTAGCATCTCTGAAAGCACAAGCATTCTGCCTAGCCATGTTAGAGATAGAAGAAGGACTGTCAAATTTGTTATAAAAAACAAATGAATTCCGCCGCTTCCAAAGCAAATAGATCGTGGCAGTAAAAATTTCCATTTCCTCCTCCGTCACCACATTGAACAAGAAGCAAACTAGATCCTTAAAATCCCTCGGAAGATAGGACATTTTCTGAAATCTACGGGAGCTTGATCCCCAAACCTCTTGAGCCGACACGCAAGACCAAAGGGCATGTAAAGTAGTCTCAACTTCTCGCGTGCAAATTGGGCACAAAGGCAATTCTCGTATCTTCCGTCTTGTCAGATTCAGATTGGTAGGTAAAGACTCATGCGTTGCGCGCCACAGAAACATTTTGCTAGCATTAGATGAATTAAGCTTCCAGATTTTTCTCCAGACCTCCTCCTGATGACATCTAGTTGAACTTTGGCCTAATGACTCTTGTTTCGCCTGACAAATTGCATGATAAGCGCTCCTGACAGTAAACTTCTCGTCCTTCGTGCCCCTCCAAACAAGTTATCCGGAGAGCCACAAATACTGATTGGAATCTTACAAATGAGATTGGCTTCCGCTTCAAAGAAAATAGATGAAACGAGCTGCATGTTCCAGGTTTTAGTGTCTGCGTTAATGAGTTCGCAAACTCGGGCATTCTGAAACTGATCAAATAAGGGAGGATGAATGTGAGAAGTGGATGCTTGGGGGATCCATTTATCCTTTCCAATAATCACCGATTCCCCGTTCCCAATACGCCACATGACTCCCTCTCTCAATGAATCTTTGGCTACTGAAAAACTTCGCCACAGATACGAAGCATTGCTTCCAATTTTGCTATTTAGGAAATCTGACCTACTGTAGTATTTCGCTTTCAGAATCCTAGCAGCAAATGAAGTTGGATATTTCATGAGACGCCACCCCTGCTTCGCCAGTAATGCCACATTAAATTGCTCAAAATCTCTATAGCCAAGACCACCAGATGATTTGGATTTCCCCAACTGATCCCAGGGAAGCCATTGAGTTTTAGTTTTCTCACCTCTATTACCCCACCAAAATCTCTTAACAAGTCGATTAATACCATGAAGAATTTTCCTTGGGAGTTTAAATATGCCCATGCAATATGTCGGAATAGCCTAAATGATTGCCTTGAGGAGTACTTCTTTTCCTGCTTGCGAAATGAATTTGACTGACCAGCTGTTTATCCGACTCCTGATAGATTCAAGGACAGGAAGGAAAGCTGACAATTTATTTCTTCCAATGTATGCCGGCAAGCCCAGATATTTCTCGAAGGATTTCGCTTCACAAACATTGGCGGCATGAAGAATTGCAGACTTGATCTCTGGCCTAGTATTTTTGCTGAAATATATGGAAGTCTTTTCCATGTTAAGCCGTTGCCCGGATGCATTTTCATATAACTTCAGGAGATAAGAAAGACGCCACCATTCCAGGACATTAGCATTACAGAAAATCATACAGTCGTCAGCAAAGAAGAGATGATTAATAGGCAGGTTCCCTCTTGAAAAAGGGAAACCAGAGATGAGCCCCCGTACCTCCGCTTCGTCCAATAGATTACCGAGAGCTTCAGAACAGAGAATGAAAAGATAAGGGGAAAGAGGGTCCCCTTGCCAAAGACCTCTCCTAGGCTGAAACTGGCGTTGTGGCTCTCCGTTGATAATCAGGGAGAATTTGACTGAATTGACACAGGACATGATCAGCTCAATCCAACCCTCTCCAAAACCCATTTTGTGTAACACTACTTCCAGAAAGCTCCACTCAATTCGATCGTACGCCTTACTCATGTCAAGCTTCAAAGCCATGTGTCCTGCCTTCTTCCCATTCACTCTATATTTCATAGAATGCATTGTTTCATACGCCACAATTATACTATCTGAGATTAATCGGCCTGGGACGAAGGCACTTTGGGCAGGTGAAATAATGTCCGACAGGAAAGGTTTGAGCCTATTGGCAAGAACTTTCGCCACCACTTTGTAGATAACATTGCACAAGCTGATGGGTCGAAAATCTGATACCGACATGGTGGTCTTCTTCTTGGGAACCAGGACGATGAATGTTTCATTTATGTCACCAATTTCCAGACGAGATGCAAGAAGACCTTTAACTGCAGCACAGACCCCATTACCAATGATCTCCCAGTTGTCTTGGTAGAAGCCAGCTGAGAATCCGTCAGGGCCAGGAGAACTCAAGGGGTTCATATCAAAGACAGCCCGTTTGATTTCTTCGTCAGTGCACTCACACATAAGCTGATCATTCATAGCAGGGGTAACTTTAGCCTCAATGTCCTGAACTGCCTCTGCAATGCCGAAAGGTTGGGAAGATGAGTACAATTGGAGGTAATGATGATTGAAGATGTTGCCAATCTCTCTCAGATCTGAGGTTACCCTTCCCCTATCGTTCAGGATGCTTTTGATAGAATTCTGTTTCCGCCGTTGGGATGCACATTTGTGAAAATATGAGGTATTTTTATCCCCGCTTTTCAACCACAATTGTTTGGACCTTTGCCGCCATTTGATTTCCTCATCTTCCAGCAAACTATCAACCTTCTTTTGAGTATCTCTGATAACCTCATTCAGTTCCCTACGATTAGTTTTCTGCAGCCGAAGTAACTTCTGCATATTACATTTCAGTTCTGCCCTTTGCGCACCTGCACTCCTCGTGGCCCAACTTTGGAGGTTAACTCGGCAGCGTTCTAGACCTTCTTTAAACCATCGGATCTCAGAACCCGGGGGAGAGACCATGCATCTTCAACAATTTTTTTACAGTCCTGCTTTCCAAACCAGGTCGCTTCATAACGAAATAACTTCAGCCGGTGGAAGTCTCCAGTGTCATGTTGGTTGCTGCAGTTAATCAATAATGGGTTGTGATCCGACATAATCACTGGCAACACCTGCACCACACAGGCAGAAAACACAGAGAGAAAGGAGGGATTGACGACTGCTCTATCCAACCTCTCCTTAGTGAATTGAGTCCCTTCCCTCTTGTTGCTCCAGGTAAACTTGGGTCCGAGATACCCCACATCCGTAAGTTCACAATCATCCAACACTTTACAAAACCTCTCCATTTGGGAAAAGGGTCTGTAGACACCCCCAGACTTCTCACTTGGTTTGGTGATTTCGTTAAAATCACCCATAACCAACCATGGCAAATGGCTACTCGGATTCATCAAACCAAGAAGCTGCCAACTCTCCTTTCTTCTATCAGAAAAAGGAGAACCATAGAAACCCGATAGAAGCAACGGCACGCCAGCCACAGGATTCGGGAGATGTAAGGAGATATGGCTACTGGAGAAGTTAAAAATCGGGGCATTAACCTCGTTCATCCAAAGCATCACCAAGCCCCCACTCCTCCCAACACAATCAACCACAAAGCAACAATCAAACCGAAGTTTAAGCCTCACTAGCTCCATTTCATTTCTATTCAGCTTAGTTTCAGAAAGGAAAACCAAGGTTGGGACCTTTACCTTTACCATATAAAGGAGTTCCCGAACTGACCGAGGGTTCCCAAGCCCTCGGCAGTTCCAGCAGAGGAACTTCATCGCGAAAGGCAGGGCTGCGCTGCAGCCTCTGTAAACCCTGGGTCACGAGCCTACTTCATTCCAACCACTATTACAGACCAAGGCCGAGACGACAAAGCAAGGGAAATCAAGGAAAAACCCCAAGAAAAAACCTCACCTGCTAGAGGGAGGAGTGAGAAACTCACCTGCGAGAGGGAGGAGGGAGAGCGCTCACCTGCGAGAGGGAGGAGTTGATAAAATTTTGATATGCTTGTAAAGTAAATAAAATTTGGTCTATTGTGTAATCCATTACGGCGTAATATTATGTAACAAACACGTAAGGCCTCCGTCACTCATTTTGTTGCATCTGCTACTTTTGCCAAGAGCTATTATTTTACCTCTAACGCTACTCTTTTTAATTAAGTTGAACTCCTTTGACGCTTCACTCTTTATTTTTCGGGCTAATGCATAGCCAAGTTCCAAATTATTAATACTTAAAATGGCAAATTTCCAACCTTAGAAGTATGACCAGCGCACATCGACAAAATCTGTCAAATTATAATTTTTTATTGAAATGAAAGATTTGTTGATTATATAATAAATAAAAAAAGGTTTCTTGTTTCCTTTAACTACGGAATATAATATTTGTGGTTTATCTAATTATTTGTACAATGTACTTAAGATTGGTAATATAGATGCAACAAGATTTGATGATTCAAATAATTTAATGAGAATTTGACAAAATTGAAATATTCAAATTATATTTCAATAATAAATGATTCAAACAGTAGAAAACCAAACAAAAATAAACTCTAGTGCAATAATCGCAAAAAAATAAAAAATAAAAAATTGAACTGTTAAAGTTTGAACCCCCTAGACAATCAAATTTGTCTAAATCATGAGTTTTCAAGAGTTATGCCTTGAGTTTAGCTTAAAAGCAAGTAAGGGACTGCTATTTGAAATCTTAGTGAAACACTGAATTTCTTATTTCNGTTGTGCTTGAATCGGGCTTCCAACTAAGTTCATTACCACAATAATTGCAACATACTTTCCAAATATCAACTCCATGTGGTGACATGGAGGGCGAAAAAAGGAAAGAGAGGGATGTGGTTTCTCTCGCTTTTGGCGTAGCAACCCTCCAGTGGGAGGCTTTCTTCGCAAAATTGTGCTCAATTTCATGTGGTAATTCTGCTCTAAATAGTTCATTAAATTACTAAACTATATTGTATACATCAATTGTTATGCAAGTATGTGACAAGGGAACTAAATAAAATTAGCAAACATAAAAATAAAAGGAAGAGTTTGAGAAAAAAAAAAAGATTATCGATTCTATTTTGGAAAGAATTAGGTTCCAAAAATATGTTTTTATATTTTTAGCACTTCCACTGTACAATAAAACAAACCTTATTACCTTTAAAAAGATTAAATCCAATTATTAGTGAATTAATTATAACATTTATTTTATAATTAACATATGCTAAAGGCTAACTTAGCAAATGTTCATTCTTTTACCCTACTCGTCTGGTACATTGCTAGATCTAGCAAAAGAGTCAAGATAACCCCATATTCATCAATTACTAGAAGTCGTTTATATTTTGATCGTCTGAATAAAGGGCGTTGTGTCTTTGGACAAGAGATGCTCAAGAAAGTCTCTCAAGCTGCTCCCCTTATACCTCTTCGGATGTTTTTCATCGACTAGCTTTGTAGTAGGCTCGACTATATCATCCATTCCGAGGCTATGAAAGTCAGCTATAGACAACCTAGAAACATTATCTGAACTCGGAAGGGCTCGATGCAGTACACTTCTGTACAAACCATTGCTTATTACCTCCAAGTGATCACCCACTATGACTTCTAATGACCCTTCGATCTTGCTAACGCTCTTCCATGCGCCATCCGACCTGTCCATGATATGGAGGCCCGGGGAACTTTGAAGAAGAACGGTGATAATGCTGTGATCCGTGTGCGCAGATGTGCCTGCTTTTACATTTGATTCCGAGCATGGAGGATAGGAATTTATGCCGATAAGTTGTGCGCCGTGCTCGAAATTTTGTTTCAATTGTGTTGGGCTTAAGTTTAAGCTCTCCATGATGGCACCAAAAAGCTCAATGCCTAATTTCCTGACTTCTGTAGCATACATTCCCATATTTTCTCTGTTACATTAACAAAGAACTGTTAGTATTTGCAGTGTTCTTCAATGAAAGGAATGGTACTAACATTTTGTTAAAACTTAAAAAGAATATATTAAAATTAGGACAAGAATTTGATTAGAATTTCAGTTGTCTCTAAACTCTTAAAAATATTTAAAGACACATATGTAGGATTTGAAAATTCTTAACACTTTCATCAAATCCTTCCATATACACATGTAATACTCCATATT